CGACTTGGTGATAATTATGCACCTGTTAACAAACCTCTTGCCCTTTCCGGTGTTAAAGTTGCCCCTCCTCATCCTTTTCTTGTTAAGGCCTCCGATGTACCTTCACAGCTTCGCGGCTTTTTAAATCAACAATGGACAGTTCTCGCGGGACTTGAAAAGAAATTGGCTGATCAGCGGAGGTACTACAAAGAGGTTCTGGGTGCCTTAAAGTCTCGTACCCCTTTGGCCTCTAAATTGAAAAAGGGGGAGAAAAAGAAGGATGTTGCTACGGTTGCTGCAAAGAAGAAAGATCTTTCTAAGGGGGAGAAAAAAATAGTGGGTGTTGAAGGAAAGTAGATAAAGGTGGTGGATGCTGCTTCTACTCAAAAAGGGAACGAGAAGGTCATTGATGCCAAGGGAAAGGGAAAGGAGAAGGTAGTGGAAGTAGATGAAGGTTCTGATGAAGAAGAGAAAGAAGAAGAAGTTGGGTCTGATGAGGAAGAGGAAGCAGACTCAGAGGAAGAGACTGAGGATGGCACAGAAAAAGGTTCAAGGGAGGAATCTGAAGAGGAAGAGTCTGCTTAGCCATTCTTCAGCTGGATATTTATTAAAAACTTTGTTTTGTGTGCTTGTTTGAACTCCTTCCTTTATGTCTTATTATCTTGCGTTTGATGAACCTTATTGGGATATTTTGTGAACTAATGTGTTGTTATTTAGGTATTTGAAGTTGTTCCTAAGAACAACACATGTGTGATATTAGTATTCTTTGGAAGTTGTGTATTCTGCAGCATCTGTATTTGTTTCGTCTTTGTAGGTTCATGGTTTTCGATTTATCTGCCAAAGGGGGAGATTTTAAGTACTAAAAATTGGTAGTAAATCGATGAACCTTCTGATGATCACAGAGTCTAGAAATTTACTGGAGTATTTAAGGGAAGTTTATTTTTGGTATAAATGAGTACTGAATTTTATTTAAGTCAAATTGACATATATTTGTTTTATTCTTACAGGTCGACAAGATCAAAGGGGAAGATTCACCTTCCATAAATTAAGAAGAAGAAGATCGTGAGATTTACCTTCCATATGTGTTTATGACTTGGGCGCAAAGACTTACCAAATGAGTTGAAGATAAAAGGAAGACGAGACCAGAGTTGAGGATCACTTTTGATTCGGGATTTTTGAGTTTTCATTTTATTTTATTTTTTGAATGATAAGTAGAACATATAAGTTTTTGTAACAGAATGTTCGGAGGTTCATTCTAATTTCGTTTTAGAGATTCGAACTAGAAAAATCCACAAGGGAGTTGTGGTCGGATAAGTAGTTGTGT